GTTTTTTATTTGCCCTTATTTTTAAGTTTTGAATAATTTTAACACCTCCATTACTGTTACAAAATTCTCCTTGTAAAAAGTAAATAAAAATAAAAAATAAAAAAAGGAAAAACTAGAAGTCTTTACTATATTGGGCCAACACTTTATCCACTGAGCCAAACCGGTTACGGCCAGTTTGTACTTTTTAAGAAAATATGTTTTTATTGATTTTTAGAGAGGGAGGAAGGGAGAGAGATAGAGAGACAGAAACATCTATGAGAAAGGAACATCATGTATCTGATGCTTCCTGCACTCTGCAGGGCCCTTACTGGAGATCAAGCCTGCAACCAAGGTATGTGTCCTTGACCAAAATTGAACCTGGGACCCTTCAGTCCACAGACCGACACTCTATCCACTGAGCCAAACCGGGTAGAGCTGCAGTTTTCTTTTAAGAATATATCAATTGTCTCAGTACTCAGTGGAATTTAAGTGACACACTCAAAAGTTCTGCACTACACAGTTGAAATAATGTTCTATAATTATCTTACTCATTTTTTGGATTTTTATCTAGTTTTATGAGTTTAATAGACATTGTTCCCACAAATGAGTATACTCATTAATTGGAATCAAGAGATCATAAAAATATTTTTGTATTCCCAAATATTTTGATGGAGTGGTGGTAAAAGGCAGGAACAATAAAACAAGATAAAATATCTTCTATAAATTGGGAAAAAATAACTGCAGATATATTAATAAGTAACTGGTTTTTAAATCATGCAAAGCATTCTGCTGAATTTTCAGAGTGGGAATTAATAAAGAAAGGTTCTATGTGTGATGGATTGGGTAATAATTTGCCTGGTAGTTTTTAAAGGGCTGATTTCCATATCATTTTACAATGATTTAGCTGAAGATGAGAGTAAGCACAGCCTCTTTGCAATTTACAATTGTGTATGTCCTCCCATAAATTAAATTGTTAACCTGGTGACATTCTCTTCTCATCCAACAGTGCTATGTCTCATTTAATGATGGAAAAGACCAGTGATCGTTTGTAGAGTTTCATACACATCAATTCTTTTGATATTTACCACTGTGTTGTTAAAAAGGAAACAAACACAAGGGATGGTTGGAATAAAGACAAACATATTTGAAGTCAATGCCAAAATGCTTTTCAATTGTCATGTTCTGACTTCATGAAAGGTTTTGGATTCAGTAAAAAATTAGGAATTTCACAAGGGTTATTGAAGTGCATCAGAGAAAGAAGATATCCTGTAGCTATACATCCAATTGCTTAGTTTTCGGGAAATTAGCAGGGTTTAAATTGATTTGCTCCCGGCTGGGAGCTGGGACTTTTTCTTTACTAAGTCTCAAGAATATTTTCTGCATCACATCCTGTTTGTTTCTTCTGGTGAGAGTGACTGGGTAGATGGATTACAGAGAAACATTGGGTTAATGCTAGAAAAAAATGTGGTAGATTATCCTTTGCAGTGTTTATTTATGTTTTTTTGTTTGTTGGTTGGTTTTTTCAGTTGAACGTGTAACCAAGCACTTTGCTTTTTTTGTTTGTTGGTTGGTTGGTTGGTTTTTTTAGTTGAACATGTAACCAAGCACTTTGCTTTTTCTCCTTTAACTTTCAAAATGGCCCCATGAAGAAGCTCGTCATCTCTATTTTGTAGGTTTGAAAGTTGAGATGTAGATGGTAATTTGAATATTACCCTTTTATTATATAGGATGTTTTTATTGATTTTTAGAGAGAGAGAAGGGAGAGAGAGAGAGTATCCAGTATCACACAGTTAGTGAGTTTTGAAGTTGGAATTTGAACACATTTAAGACAACTTCAGAGGTCACAAGCAACTATTCTATATTGCTTTTACTAGATGGAATGGCACAGGTTTTTGCTCAGTTAAGTAATAATTAAGTCTTTGACTATGAGAAACAATAAAAAAATCTCTGGGCTTCTTTTTTCTTCATGTGCAAAATAAAGACTTCAAAATCAGTTATACAGAAGTTACCTTTCCCTAGGTAAGTTACTGTGCTGTTTTTCCAATGTAAAGAACATGCATTTCCTAGACTTATTTAAAATTAAAGATGATATCCTTATGCAGGTTCTGTATGCTCAATATAATAATTTCTTTGTAAAATGAAAAACATCTGAACTCCTACATGGAAACATTTCTCTTACAATTTATTAATTAATGACACAGCACTGCGATGCATTTAGAAATACTTATACATAATGTTGTATCTTGAAATCAGAATATCCTCTACATAAATTTGAAAGTTTAGAATATTATTGTGTACAAGGATTATAGTATTTGATCTAGAATTATTAGTTGTTATACAAATGAATTCATAAATTCACTCTATTCAATTTTCAGTCACCTAGTCTATGGATCATGGTTGGGAATCAAAGATTTGGGTTATAGAAAATTCTAAAGCAGATATATCTTTTTTTCATTAAAACACTACAAAATATATTATTTTTGCCAATACTTAAATTTAAATTAGATTGATAACTGTGCCCTTACTTGAATGCATCTATCAGATAATACAATTTGCAATTTATTCTAAAGGTGCAACAGTAGTATAAGGGTTTGGGGGTATATTATTTTTCTAAGGATGCCATAACAAAGAAGTACTGACTGGCTAAACAAAAAATTTCTTTTCTAACATTTTAGAGGCTGGAAGCTCAAGATCAAATCATCAGAAGAGTTGCTTTCTCCTGAGTTGCCCTTTCTTGGCTTCTCACTATGTCCTCCCATGGTCTTTCCTCCTTGTGTGTTCTAATCTCCTTTTATATGGGCAGGTTGAATGAGGCCTTCCCTAATGACCTTGTTTAAGCTTAATTATCTGTTTAAAGACCCTATTTCCAAATACAGTTTTATCACCATTGCAGTTGATTACAATAACAAAATACAGAGAAAAACCAGCAAAGGAAAAAGTCCCATGGAGCAAAGGACAGAGTAAACCAGACCTAAGTTCTAAGCATCCCATCCCGGGGAATAGCATAGAATGAGCTTAATTCCTCCAGCAATGACATTTGGTAACAAGTGGGAAATGTTGCCAACCAGGAAAGCTCAACTGAGGCCCCAACTGTCCTTGATCTGTTGGAGTCAGTCACAGTCATATAGTCTTACAGTACCTGTGTCACCTCAGTCACTAAAGCCCCAGACTGAAAGCAGGTGTTCATGGTAAATAACTTTATTAGTTTAAACTATCTGGACACACCAGCACAGCATGCCACAAGGCCTCTAGTATGTGCCAGACAGGACATTTTAAGATCTAAATCGTAGTCATTTTCAAACTTTTCTTATTTTAAATGTTCAGGGTGTAGGGCAGCACAGTCCTGTTGAGTTGAATTTTTCCTGCCTCAGACCCTGTATTACAGAAAATGAGTCTAAGCAATGGTCCTAACAATAATCCAGAGAAAATCAAGAAAAATGAGTGAGGTGGAACATTCTGAAAATTGAATCAGGTCTATCAGTAAGAATAAGTAAGAGTTAGAAGCAGGAAAAACTGAGAGTGTAGGAAAAGTCCAGGGAAGACTATTTAATTGATGTTCTACACAAATAAGAAGGTTCTAGAGACCATTGTTATCTCATACAAGTTAAATGAGATGGTTCATAGGAATCACCAACTTCTGGTGGCTTACAGTAACAGCTCTAAGCCATAGTGCATTAGCTCAAACCAATTTCTTGATGTGCGCATAAGCAGTTATTAGCACACATCATATTTGTAATAATATATAAGTATATGCCATCTAAAATATTTCTCAGGTTGACCTCATTATGTTCAGTGATTGAAATAATTAGCAAACTTCAATACAGATCTTTCCCATGGAAAAGTTTTTATGCTAAGTGTGGCCTTGCCTCTGATTATAGCTTGATTAAATTGCACTTGGATTTTGTTTTTATCCTCACTTTAGGACATGCGCATTGATTTTAGAGAGAGAGGAAGGGAAATAAAGAGAAAGAAACATTGATGTGAGAAACATTGTTTGATGCCTCCTGTTAAGGCCTGACTGGGGATCAAACCCATGACCCATGTGCCATGATAGGGAATCAAACCCACAACCTTTTGGTGTCAAGGATGACTCTCCAACCAACTAAGTCACCTGCCTGGGCACATTTTAATTTTTTTTAACTGTAATATTATTGTATTTGGTGAAAGTAGCATCTTATGTCAAAGTTATATGGAGTCTTATATGGAGAATATGATAACAATTGAAACCTTTAATTCTATGTGGATAAAGTCTCATAATATTTTTGGATCACATCTCTAAGTTAGAAGAATACAAATTATTCTAGCATTATTTCTCTTTGGGCTTCTTTATTCCATATTTTTTCTTTGTTTACAAGGCCTGCTTATTCCCCGTGCATGTACTTATTTAACTCTTGAAGCTTTTTCTTTCTTCTTGCATTAATATCCTATGGCTGCTTTAACAAATTATCATGAACTGTGTGGTTTAACACAATATACATGTATTTTCTTCTTATACTGGTGGTCAGAAGTATGAGATGAATTCTATTAGGCCTAAACCAAGGTGTCAGAAGAGTCATGGGCTCTTGGGAAACTCTAGGGGAGAATTCTTTTTTCCCCTCCCTAGTTTGTATAGACTGGATAATCTCATTGGCTCATGGCCAGATGTGACATTGCCTTTCTGCTCTTGCTTCCATTATTGTATCATTTCTTCCACCTCTCTGCCTGCCAAATCTCCCTCGGCCTCCCTCTTATAAAGACATTTGTGATTGCATTTAGGGTGCACCCTGATAATGCAGGATAATCTCCCCATTTCAGATTCCTTAACTTAATCACATCTGCAAAGTCCATTTTGCTCTATAAAGTAATGTTCACAGGATAGAAGAATAGGAAACTGGATTCCTTTGATGATCATAATTTGGCCTAAAATACACCTATGGAATAGCTGCCCACTCTGATCTTTCATTTGGTCAATAACTATTATTTTAAAAAATGCATCTTGCTTCATCTTTATATTTCCTTGATGTCTTGAAAAGAGCTGGGTGAAGCGTCTGGAGTTCTGGCCAGTCAGCTCCATTTACCATCAGATGAGAACTCATGAAAGTATCTGATTTCTTAAAGCACATGGCATTTTCAGGTAATACATCCTTTCAAATTGAAGAAAACCTTGTACAGGTAACATTGCAGAAAACATTTAATGAGGTTTGAAAGAGTCACATTAGACAAGATTTTGCAATAATTTCTTACTTTAGAATTTTTGATATATGACATATGGTTGTCTTAGATAAAAAGGTAAAACAGTTATTTCCATGGAAGAACACATATTTTGTGCATACCTGTTTTGAAAATAAAATTAAATTTGATCTGACATGTTAAAAATGTTTTCTTTAATTCTTGGAAGTAGTTCATAAGTGAACATTTAAATAGAACATAAAAAATATATAATCAGAAAAATACAAAAAACATAAATGTAAGGCTTACTGAATTTTGCAAAAAGTGAACATACATATGTAACAACATCAAGAAATGGAAAGTTAGTAATGAATCAGTCAAAATTTACTTTAGGAAATAGACTCAATATAAGAAATATATGACTAAAAACCTATTGTGAGATTATAGTTAAGAGACATGTGTGAGGAGCTGGGAAAATGAAGGTCTAAAATAAACAATAGTTGATAACAGAAAGAATAACTAGTTAACCTGGCTAAGAAATTAGTGAGAATAAGTAACTTATAGTTTTCTGGGTAATAATTTCTTAATGGCATAGTCTGCTTCCAGAGAGAGGTTGTGAATGGGAATCTTGTAAAGAGCTTTTTGAGATACAGTTGCTTTAGAGCAGATGCAACCATATGGTCCATAACCAAGTATCTGTTAGGGAACCTAGGGCCTCTGTTTGTCATTAGAGCTAAGCAGCCAGAAAGATGAGCTGAATATAAAGTGGATGAAAGGGAAGAGAGTCTAAGACCTGCAGGACACCACTGTTTCTGTCTAATCCCAAATCTTACCAGGAGGACTGAACAAGAATAAAAGTGACTGACTACTGGTTTTAAGTTTCTCTTTTGTTGAAATTTAACATGGAAACATATCAACAGGGGATAGCAATATATTCCTATAGTTTAGTCAAGTTAACGCACAATCCAATAAATGAGAATCTTAGAAGTTTCCCCCCCCACCACACCCTTAGCCCTATCCATTCACCACATCTCCCATTCTGTCACCTTCTAACAATGAAGATGAAGTTTGTATTGTACTTTGTATAAACGGACTCATAATGTGTACATTTATCTGATTCCTTTTACTCCACAGCTACTCTCATGAGAGTCGGCCTTGTTGTGTGTACACTTGCAACTGTTTTATTCTAATTGCTATATATTATTCCATTGCATGAGTAGATCACAAGGTATTTTTCTCTTCTATCAATAGTGAACATTTGGTTTGTTTCCATTTTGGGGCTGTTGCTAACAGTGTTGATATGAATAGTTGTATATTTATAGAAAGAGTTATATGTTATTGTTTGGTATATTCTTAAGAATGGTATTTCTGGGTCAGGAGATATGTATATGTTTACTTTTATTGGACACTGCCAAATAGTTTTACAAAGTGAGTAGTTGATGAATCTCTCAAAACAACTTTTCTTTTTACAAATGAAGATACTATTTTCAATCTAGTAGGGTTATTATGAATATACTAGTACAACCACATAATACAATCTATACCTTGAACATAATGAATATGCAATAAATAATGGCTCATTGTTATTTACTATATCCACATAATTTGATTATCATAAAGGAGGCAGGGTTATTTGTTTGGGCAAAATTTCTTGACCACATACAACATGGCCAACACTGTACTATGCAAACCAGTTAATGATAAATCTCCTGAGGATCATTAATAGAGCTGGGTGGGACCATGTACCTAATGTACACTACGTGTGCCTTAACACACCCAAAAGCAAGTTCCCTGTTTGCAGGAAATTTGAATGATCTTATTTGCAACAGTAGGGTAAGGATGGGGGAAGTGGCAAATTTCAGCCTGAATATCTGAATGCTAAATTCCCATCTGGTAGATGTGAATTTTGACTATAAACCCGAATTCACTTTTTAGTCTGGTCATTCTAAAATTTTACCTTACATTACAATGAACATGATAATGACACAAAATGGCATAAGAGAGATTATGTAGGAATCCAGGCTTTCATTTATTCAATCAACAAGTATTTAAAGTGCACCTAGAAACTAGTTTAAAAAGTGCTTATCTGATCTAACAATAGAGAAACATAGTAACTAACTGTAACTTTGCTACCCTTCCTATTGGCTAATCAGCAAGATATGCAAATTAACTGCCAACCAAGATGGCTGCCGGTAGCCAGGCAGCTGAAGTGAACAGGAGGCTTGCTTGCTCCAGTGAAGGAGGAAGCCATGGCTCCCCACCTGCTGCTGCCGGCCTCTGAGCTTTCACTAAGAAACAATGTTGCAAGTATAGAAGCTAAACAAAACCCAGAAACCTGCTTTTGGCCAGCCGGGCTTCAGCCAGCAGGATTGCAACAGTGTTTCAATTATAGAATCCAAACAAACCCAGATCCCTGCTTTCAGCAGCCCAGGTCTCAGAGCTGGAGCCGGGCCTCAGAGCTAAAGCCGGCTCTCAGCTCCAGTGACAGCCATAGAAGGTAAATAAATCCCAGAATAATAAAGAAAAAAGAAAAAAAGGAGAAGTTGGGAGCTTCAGTCACCCACCAGCCTGAAAACGGCCCCCAGCCCCTCACCCAGACTGGCCAGGCACCCCAGTGGGGACCCCCACCCTGAAGCAACAAGATGGAGGCTAATTTGCATACTGAAGGTGGGCAGCAGGGGGCAAGGCTGTACACGGTCTGGGACCCGGATCTGTGACCTAGCGGGAGGGGGGTAGTGCTTGAGGCTGTCCACGGGACCAAGACATGGATCTGTGACCCTGGCGGGCAGGGGGCAGTGCTTGACGCTGTCTGTGGTCCCAGGACCCAGATCCGTGACCTGGTGGCTGGGGGGCAGTGCTTGAGGCTGTCCGCGGTCTGGGGCCCGGACCTGTGACCTGGCCGGCGGGCTCAGTGCTTGAGGCTGTCCATGGCCCAGGACCCGGATCCGTGACCCTTCCTGGCGTGGCGGCAGCTCACACAGGGGCGGATTGGCCAGGTTTAGGCAGGGCAGGGTGCCTGGCTTCCACCCAGCCCCAGTCACTCTGGGCCGGTGAGCAGCACAGAGAGCCCCTGGACAGGGGAGGCTGGCTGCGGAGGGCGGCCTGTACTCCCCACATGGCGGTGGTGACAGCTGTGAGCTCGCCAAGCGGAGCCTGCAGGCTGAGCTGAAGGAGCACCTGCAGG